AAATAAATACTTTTATAAGTATATAATATATATATTCACTTGATATTTAAAATATAATTTGCGTTAATTATTAAAAATATAGTTCTTCAAAGAGGTACGCTGCTGTATTTGACTTCGAATTTTATGTGAGAAGCCCATGAAATTTAAGTATAAATTTAATGTTACACGATACAAAAAATAAATGTTAAGATAACAACTTATTATATAAAAAAATATATCATAAAATACATTTCATAAATATACCTAACAATTTTTAATAATAATATTTAATTATCAACTATTGGATGATATATTTAAAGGATTGTATATTAAATATATATAATAATACTATTTAAAATATTTCACTTAAAAATTTTTGTTTGTAAATTTCAATGATATTTTTAAACTATTTATTATAATAAATATATTTTTATTAATAAAAATATATATTAAATATTTTTTTTATGTTTATAAGATAATTAGGAAATCTCACTCAAACTGGGGGGCCTTAGCTCCCCTATTANCTCAAACTGGGGGGCCTTAGCTCCCCTATTTCCGATTATAGCTACTTCTACGAATAATTGATTTGTTTAATGAATTTATTTAATTAAAACGATTTTAATTCAAAATTATATTTTAGGTAAATATGTTTGTCTAAAAGGCAAATGTAAGGGTCAAACATTTCTATTGTTATTAATGACCGTCCGTTCGACCCAACGTTCGCTAGTGGATGGTTTCTATTATCCGTTGTGAACGAACGTTTTTTATTGTTTTAAACGGTCGTCCGTTCGATATTTCATACGTTCCGAAGATGTTCATGAACAAAGTTTGCCATTAGGTCAGTCAACAAAAAAAAAAATGGCGGAAAAAATTCCCAACCAAATTTTTTTTTTTTTTAAAGTTGAAATAAGCTATGTACCAAAAGTTCAAAAATATGAGCTTTTTTAATTTTCTCAACAAATATTTAACTTACAAAAAAAAGTTTCGTACAAAAGTTGTTTAAAAGACAATTTTAAACAAAAAAGGTATCTTATATTTTTTCATTTAAACAAATATTTTTTGAGTTACATTACATTTAATATGAGTACTAAAATTTATTTTCCAATTTTTTTCATTTTACGGTTACTTTTTATCATGTTACCCTTATGTTAGACACAATGTTATAAATGCATATGTGTGTATGTGTGAGTATATTTATTATAGTATCATTAAAGTGTAGTATATATTAAGATACAACCGATAGAGTAGGTAATTGATTTAACGTTATGTTGTTCAAACCCAATTAATTCTACTCTACAAAATAGCTATCTTAGATTTCTTTTTTACATTTTATTTAAAATTTAAAAATAATTAATATTTTTAATAAAATGTAAAAAAATGAATTATTGAGATATAGCTATAGACCTAACGTGTAACTATTATTAAAAAAAAAATCAACTAAAAATATTAACTGGATCAAAAGTTATTTAAGTTGTCAGTGAGTGGTGGGCCACTCTGTATATAT